AGCAGACTCAAAGTCACTGTGACTTAGAGTCTGGCAGCAACTACTCTGGCCTTTTTAATTATTTAAAAAATTCTTTCCTTTTCCTCGCTTGACTGGTGAGGCCCCGCCTCCCCTGCCTCCAATGACTGCACATCCCTTTAGGGTTAGTTTAGAGCGCGCTTCTGTCGGCGTGCTGTTGACAGCGTGCTTCTGTGCTCATTTGTAGATGCGATTTTGAACTCGCGCTTTTCTCTCCACGGTTTTGTTGGCGTGATTTTGTCGAGCGCGCATTTGTCGGTGAACCGATTAGCTTGGTAAATGGAACCCCTATTTGAACTGGAGGAGGTGGCTTCTTAAAATTCAGAGGACTAAAGCAAAAGGAGAGCTAGGAGGGGACCCAGGGGCCTCAAACCCCAAAACAGCATGTCAAACTCCAAAACAGCACGACAGATGATTTAATAGCTGACCAGCTGTTGTAAGGCTGTAATACTGAAATGATGATGAGGCCCTGTGAGGGCGTTCTGTGTGTGTATGTGTGTGTGTGTGTGTGTGCTTCCATGCTATAGTTGATGATTGATTGCCTAACTTTGCCTAGTACATGTATGTATACATTCCTTGTAGATAAACCACTGTTTGAAAGACCAACCTGTTTACTTTATTTTGCTCCTGAGTTGTCTCAAAATAGTCACACTGTGCGCACTCTGTGAGCCGTCTCAGGGTTGCCATCTGGGGGTCCCTGGGAAGGGAAGGAAAGGAAAGGAGGAGAAACTGTGCCGGTGGAGTGGGTTAGAATCTGGATTGAATGGGGCTTAAATGGAGGCCGAGTAATGCACCGAGAAGCTGATAGCTGCAGGGAAAAATGCTGGAAAGCTGGAGGTCTTGCTGATCAGCTGGAGCCCCAGAGTACCTGTCAATCAGCTGTGACCAAAAAGCAGGCATTCCGTAACCCAGGCCTGCCACGCCCCTGGCCCAACTCTCCCAGCAGCGCCATAGGTGCCACCATCTTTTATTTTGCTTCTGTGCATGGGCAGAGCAATTTTTATTGCTCTGTGCATGCCCGCATAGCGCCCCCATGAGTGAACCAGCAGTAGTGACTGCTGGAACCCACCCTTGTCCCAACCCTTCTTGGCCATTGTCAGCATTCAGAACCTACTGGGGAGAGGAGGGGCATACAGGGGTGTTAAAACCAGGTGTGAAGCAGCAGTGGCTAGTGATGACTTTGATTGCAGTTACTTTGTGCTGAGTTTTCAATCCTGCATTAAACGCATCTCATGCCAAGAATTATGTCGCTTGCCGTTTTCTGATGTTGGAAGCTTGGAACATAACAGTAAGTCAGGGCTCCGTACTCCCCCNCTATTAATTCTGCTGTAGTGAAAAATTTGTGGCTTAGAATTACATGTAGTTGGTCCATTAGCCTTTGTTCACTGATATCACAGTCTGTGTGGTTCACCTTCCAAATCTGATACATTCGTTTTTGAAATCCACGTTTTGCTGGCTCAGACTGATAGTAAGCTTTGATAATAGATATGTTTTCTTCCCTAGTCCAGATTTTTCACTTTTTCGCTGTAGCTCATTTTGTGCAGAATGCCCAGGAGCCATAGCATCCAATGGAACACTCGTTAATCTATTATTATTATTTTTGTTGTTGTTGTTGCATTTTTCGGAGTATAAGATGCACCTTTTTCCCTCAAAAAAGAGGCTGAAAATCTGGGTGCATCTTATACACTGAATACAGCAATTTTTGCCTGCCAAAATCCCGCCCCTTCACCAAAATGGCCATGCATTGCCTTATGGAGTCTTTCAGAGATCTCCTGGGGGCTGGGGAGGGCATAAATGAGCAAAAAATGGCTTTTCTTTTGCTCAATTTTGCTCCCCCAGCCCCCAGGAGCACTCTATAAGCCTCCCTTAGGCTATCCATGCCCCCCTTTCTTTTTACGAAAAACAGGGCCATTTTCACAACAAAACAGGCTTTTTGCTCGTTTTGGAGGCTCCCCAGCCCCCAGGAACACTCTACAAGCTTCTTAAGAGCTATTCATGCCCTTTTTGAAAAAAAGGGCCCATTTTTGCATTTTGGGGAGGTTTGCAGAATGCAAAAACTTTTTTTAAAAAATTGCCTCTTCAAAATCTTGGTGCATTTTATACTCCGGTGCATCTTATACACTGAAAAATATGGTAATTATTATTATTATTAATTATGAGGAAATTGCAGATAATTTGTTTTGTTTTGTTGGAAAAACAAAACAACCAATTCACAGCACCATCGACACAACACAGGAATTCAAACTCATCAGAACAAGATTCAGTAGTCCATATGCATTTGAAAGACAAATGTCACTCTTTTGAAACAGCAAATCCACATTCTGGATAGAGTGGACCATGAGTTTGAAAGAGAGGTAAAAGAGGCCACAATTTACAGTTACAATTGAACAGCCTTTCTTCAACAGAGGGGGAAGAATATGATACCATCTATCTCCTGTCTACATCACAGTCCTTTCAGCAGATCCAAGAAGATTCCATACTCATTTGCATTCTAATTCAGGTGACCCTGACGGCACAGATAAACTCCCAAGTGGCTTCAAAGTCTCTCAGTGAGAGTACTAACAACCAGATGACTGCAAAAAAATATGATTGCTCCATTCCCACCCCTCCTGTCAGAACTAATCCCCCCATCTGCTCCACACTATCCAATCAGAACTGATGGAAGTTTCTTGGATGAAAAACAAAACTTCATTTTCCTCAAGGAAAAAACATACTCAAGTTGCCTTTTGAAAAAGCACCTTTGTAACATTCTGGGTAATGGTTCTTTATTGAGATGATCTAAGAAAAGACAGTGCTAGATGGAAGTGACTAATTAAGGGAAAGAAGCAAGTGAAATTTGTGTATGTAGCTGGAAATTAGTCTATACTCTTTAAAAAAGACAAGTTGATATACTTGATATACTTGGTATACTTTCTACAGAAATATGAACTCCAGGTAACTTTTGGAATGTTATTATTTATATGAAATTTCATTTTATGCCAAGTAAATGCTAAGCAAAAGATGGAATCTTCTACATTTCTCATGTTCAATTTTGAAGTGAATTCTACATGCATAACAAAATGCTGTCTGCAGAAACAGGATTATCTGGCCTAATTAAAGAGATTTTGGAAGAATGATTTTTAAAAGTTATAGGATCCCTACAGCAGCAACAGCACAAAGTGTGGGAATAGAAAGCAGGGATAGGAGATGACTGAAGTCACACTATGGCCACACATAGTTCCTGTAGCAACTATTTGGTTTCTCAATAATTTCACATTAGATTGTTGCAATTTGTGAGTAACATAGCTAAATATTGTGTGTACCATGTTCTGGTTGTTCAAGGATTTTACAGATGGGAAAGACAGCAGTTTTTCCTTCCCAGGCTTCTACTTCCCACATTTCAATTCCTCAAGAAATAAGATAGAAAAGGACTTATGCTATTTGCTAACTATACAGACAAAAAATATTAACTACCTTTTTAAATTCTTCTTGGAGACATTTGCTATTGCTTTCTAAAGCTAAGCCAGATTTCTGGTTCTCATTTGCTGTTCTTGACTCTGATGTCTCTTCCTCTGAAGTTTCTCTACTCTTTTTCATTTTTATTGATAATTCAGATAACCTTGCCTTCAACCTTGCTTCCACAGAGAGTACTTTACTTTGTTGATGTTGATCGACACAGCTGATGTCAAATTTTGATAAATCATCAAATACCTTAAATAATTAAAAACAAAAAGCAAATAATTAAATTACTATATCTCAAAAAGAAAACAGTGAAATTTGTGGCACATTTATAAAGAACTATTTATGACATAAGAACATAATAAATATATAAGGAAAAATAACTTTCAATATCAAATAGCATGCATTCAATTTTCTAAGCATTAAATAATTTCAGCTCTAGTTTTGATTTTGCAATTTAATTTTTAAGATCATTATGATATCTTTCACATTCAAGTCATCAGGACAGAACATGAACATTTTATTAGGATTTTTATTACAATCAGATTATTTCTCTGGCTGACTTCTCTACTTCATCAGCCTTGAGAAAGGTTGCTTTTCTAGCCTTCACTATGTTTCTAGCTGACATTGGATTGGCATGCCTGTAGCAACTGCAGAGAAAAGGAAGGATAAGTGGACCTAGTCATGATGGGCAAAGAGAAGGCCATTGGGGTGGGGAGTGGGGAGGTAAAAGACCCAACCTTGGGTTGGTGGTAAAGGAGAAAGATAAGTCAGGCTTTTCAGGAGCGATTGTAGGAATGTAGGAGGCCCTCACACCACTGGGTGTAGCTGGCTGAAACCTTCTGGCACATGTCAGGTTTTCACGGACAAGTGGATCTAGCCACTTGAGACCTTCCAAGAATTTGGGTGGGGGGAGAGAGAGAGAAGACCAGGCCACTTGGGAGTAAAGAGGGAGGAAGGAGGCCCGTGTGCTGATGAGTTTAGTCAGTCAAGGCCTTCAACTGGTGACAAGTTTCCGTGTATCGGTGGACCTAGCTGGTTAAGGTTCCCAGCCCACAGTGTGAGGGAGAGATGCAGCATTCCCACTGTTGTAAGGGTGAGCACAGTGCCAAGTACCTAAATTTTCATTACATGAACTCTGGGCAGCGGTCCTAAGTCCTTTCATTCAACACCATCTTAAATTTGAATGATCATGAGTGGAAGATTATCTATACTATATATTTAGTTATATACTATGTTGCATGTATGGTTTTCAGATTATAAAAATGGGACAGGAAACATTTTTAATTCTCACTGCTGAGAAGTAACATAAGTATGCAGTAAATTGAACAGGAAATTAAGCTTTTTTTTCTATTGGCAGGATATAAATAAAAGAAAAATAAATAATGATAAAATCAGAGAGAAAAAATGAAGTAAATTTTGCCAGGGAAAAATTAATCTATTTACACAAGACTTTTCTTTTTTTATAACCCTGAGCTACAAATATTCTGTACAGGAAGATGCTGGAAATGGATGATAATTTTCATAACAATAGCAAAGGCAATGATTAATATGCTTGGGAGAAGGCAATGGTAAACCTCTCCTTCAGTTCATGATCTACAGAAAAAAGTCTGCAAGTGCAGTTTCCTACAGTTTCCTGGATTTGCACTGAAATGTAATTGAGACATGAGAAGCAACATGATAGACTGACACGTGGCTGATCATTTTTTAAAAAGTTGTGCAAATACTATATACTGCCTGCTGCCAGAAGTTTGGAAGTTTGAATCTCACCGACTCAAGATTGATTCAACTTTCCATTCTTCCGAGGTCAGTAAAATGAGGACCCAGATTGTTTGGGGGCAAGATGCTGATTCTGTAATCTGCTTAGAGAGGGCTGTAGAGCACTGTGAAGTGGTATATAAGTCTAAGTGCTATTGCTATATAGTCATCTATATAAGTGGCCTTTTTTACTTCCATGTAATTTTGGCTATCACATTCCAGAAAAATATTTTTTCCCCAAAGTTGGTTTCATAATGTAGCAATGCAATCTGGATATGTGAATTTATGACAGGATCACAACAAATAATTTTAGCAGAAAAACAACTGAATGGGAATTCAGAAAAATCATGACCATAATTACTTGAAGCTTGTGTAATACATAGTACCAATTCCTATTCAGTGAGAAAATGTCACATTAGATCAGTTTATTCAATGCCCATGGTCATTAGCAACATATATGTATTCATAGGGTTAACAATGATAATTAGTAGAGCTTTCCATGACTGGCTATGCTTAGGTTACCGTGTCTATGTAATACAGCAAAGATTTTACCACTCCCTCCTCCTTTTTTGTGGCAAGCTATAAACTATAATCACCAAACTTTGCTTACCTGATATGTACCCAAGTTGTTATGTAGTTTTGTGTAATTTTTGCTTTTGCATAAATCTTCAGAGAGAACATTACTTTTCCCCCATGTTCTTGATGTCTTTTCAAAGTCATGATAGATTTCATTTTCACTACCATCTGAACAGTTTAAACTGATAACCTGTGGATTAAAATTCACATCCAATTCTTCATTCATCTCTGCTTTTTCCTCTCTGTATTTATTGTTACAAATTTCTTTATTCATTCCTAAGAGGCTAGATGCTATAGTCTTCCTTAAAGGATCGACAGGTGATATTTCTGAATCACAGTATTCTGTCTCAATGGTAAACCCCTTAGATGACAGAGAAGTCATAGACTGGTATAATTCATTGCCATAACTCCATTCAGCATTGTGCTGAGCTTCAACGTAATTTGAAAGCTCCTGAGGCCTCTGCTGTAGCTTGTTCAAAGTCACATTCCAGTCACCATTATCTTCGCTATCTGAGCCCATCTCATCATAAGCAGATACAACATTGGATTCTTCCTCCAAAGCTTTGAACACTTGGCTCTTAGGTTTAGCAAGCAATCGAGGACAAGGCAAAATGGTATTTTTCAAGGCTACCCAATTTCCATCTGTACTTTGCAAAACAGGAGGAAAATCTAAGGGAATATAAAAAGAAACTCCAGTATTATTATTGAATTTTATTGATCTGAATGCATTCTTAATTAGCTATTTTTTCAATTAGTACAAAAAGTAAAATTTTGGTTGTTTTATATCTTATAAATTTCAAGAGAATAATAAAGTTCATATGAATTATAATAAATATGAAATATGACACATATTATGATAAAGTACTGTGAAGATGATTAATCACAATTTGATCTGATGAATTTGAAATGGAGCCAGAGTTTTAATAAATATTTTAAAGGTTTACAAAACAATGAACATTTAGTTTTGCAACCCACACATAGTATTGGATAGATGAAAAGCATAATAAATACATTGTTATTTATTAATATTATTAAGAATTTCTTTAAAACCCAAGAGTGGTTGCAATGTGTATTTTAGAATTCCTGAAAACCTAAATGTTTCTAAACATGTTAGTATTTTCCTTGCAACTAGTACTGCTGACCATGATAAATTCTAACAATTTGGCACTATATGGCAATTCAATGCAAAGATGGGAACATCTTATTGTTTGTTATTAATCCAGACAAGTTAACAGCCACCAATTATTTCTAGTAAAGGACTCTCTTTCTTGGATTGAGCAAGAATCTTGTTATTGATCTATTTATTGTCATATCATCTAGTGTCCTTTCATTAGCAGAATTAATAACTTGGAATTTCACAAATAATGTAGAAGAAAGTAACTGATTTGAATACAAACTTAGTCATATGTAGAGAAATCAGTTGATATTAATGTCATCTTTCACAAACTGTTCCATTTATTGTAATTGGTTTATATTATGCATGACTGAATCAATGTAAGAATTTTGGAGACTAGGATGCTATACTTGATATTAAATGCAAAGAAGCAAAAATTTAAAATTCTTGAAAATTAAAGTTATAATGTTTATATATAGAATCTTAAGTAGGCTTCTATGGATAGGTCTCAATTGATGATAGCTCACTTAATGAGTATTTAAAGTTATGATACACCCCCAAAAAGATACCCACGACTAGACTCAAAATTTGATACCTGCCCTATCCCCATGGTCACATAATGCATTTTGGGTGCTGAGCAACCCAGCCTATATTTAGAGCCTTTTGCAGCATTCCATTATCATGTGACCACAATTCACCACGTTGGAAACTGGCATTTACTTTCTGGGGAAAAATGCCCATTGTGTGCAATAGGTGCACCTAATGACCACAGCTTTCAATTAATGATTGTGGCATTTGCCTTATGATCACAATATTCACTTAATGACTGTCACATATTATAAATGTCATAAAATTGGATTTGTCATATGATGTTCCACTAAGAACTGGCATGGCTGCTGACCTGTAATTCTGGGCTTACAGGTATGTATATTTAATTACACAAAGCCATTTTATTTTTGAGTTTGTGAAAGCACTGATTCCCTACTATTTAGTATATTTCTAGGATTCAAAACACTTTTCTAAACAGCATCTAATTATAAATGAAATAGATATAACTGCAATTGCTTTTTGAAAGCATTTTTTCTAGAGTTTAAACAATCAAATGCCATTAAATGTGACTAAAATATATTTTGGGATTTCAGCTTTGGTAATAAATTTAATAAAACAGTCATAGTCTATTTATCCTCAAGAATAGTTGCTTAATTTAAAGGCATTGAAAAATGCCTCAGGTCAATTGTTCATGCCAAACTTTTAAAATATTTTTCCAAGACAATTTTTTAATATAAATTATTTCAACTTAACAAGTTAAGTTTGCACATGCATCAACCACATACACTAAAGGTCCATTTATCACTCACAAATATGTTCTAAGATTTCAGGAGTAAAAGGCACAGAAATAATAGCTGAACAATAAAAATAAAACAGATATAACTTCCTGCATCCAGGAAGAGGATTAACTAATCTAGAAACAACTTTTGGTATAATATCTACAGAAGGATGTATTTCTGTCAATGGATACTGCAGAGGATCTAGTTACTGAGGCCTTGCCAAGAGCAATGCAAGGCTTACCATAATTCTGGCAGCAATAATACATTTTGTGAAAAGAATGACCACAGCTTTACATTAGAACCAGGCCTTTTTGTTTGCAAATTTCATGACAGGTTATAAATAATACGAAGTTATTAATTGTTAATGAGTTACTAACAGAAAACATATTCCAATGGCTCAGCAGATAGGTTCTGAATATTCCAAATGTACTGTATTTTTTGGAATATAAGATTAATCTTCTCCCCCCCCAAAAAAAGAGGGTGAAAATCTGGGTGCATCTTATACTCAGTTGGCAAAGTGGGCACTGCACAGGAGGCCTAAAGCAAGGAGGCTCGCCGCTCTGCCTACCCCTTCTCCATATGACCCAGGGAGAGGGCAGTCAGCTTCTGCTCCTGGCCCAGGAGATGGATCTGGCCAGGAAGAAAGAGGAGGTAAGTCTGCGGAGAAGGAGGGTGCACGGCTCTGTAATGTGCATTGGGGGAGGAAAGCATTTTTGGGTTGCAATGCTGGCCACACGCCCTATTTTTGAAATCAGGGAAGGGATTGTGATGCTGCTGCCTGAAAACGCTTTCCTCTTAAAATGGGCTGTTCGGAGGCCATAAAAGTGCATGGTGTTTTAGGCAGCAGATCTGGCCAGAAGGTGTTTTCAAGTGGCAGCATGCACTGGAACTGCCCTCTGCCTGAAATGCAATGCACTTTTTTGGCTTCCACATGCCCCGTTTTTGGAATCAGGGAGGAAAGCATTTTTGGGCGGCAGCACCGCAATTCCTTCCCCGATTCCAAAAACTTGTGCGATTGGAGCTGCCACCCAAAAATGCTTTCCTCTCCCGATGCACATTGCAGAGGCATGCAGAGCCATGAACCCTTCTCCTCCTTCTCTGCAGACTTACCTTCTCTTTCTTCCTGGCCAGATCTGTCTCCTGGGTCAGGAGCAGAAGCTGACTGCCCTCCATCTGGGTCGTCTGAAGAAGGGGTAGGCAGAGCAGCGAGGCGCCTTGCCCTATGCCTCCTGTGCAGTGCCCGCTTCACCAACCAAATCCCAACCTCTGTGCTTCACCGGGCCACTTTGGGAATCAGGCTCTGACCAAGCCAGCAAAGGTACAGGGCAGCGTGTTTATGAGATGACAGTGTCCAGAAGAACTGAAGTGCTGCTTCTCTATCGGGCCTTGCTGTGAGAAAGCCAGACTTTCAATGCCTATAGCTAAAGGTAGGAAGACGGGGGCGTCTTGGGAGCGGAGACTTCAATGCCAAGTCCCTCTTCTTTCCCCCATGAAAATCACAAACACCCTACCCCACCCACTCCAGTTAAATGCGCATAGGGTGATAGGGTTTGATTTAAATGGACAAAAAGATCTGTGCTGCTCCTTATCAAAATCCATGTGGAAGTGAGGATCCCCACCACCTAAAACCACCCAAAAATGTGAGGCACAGAGGCGGCAATGGTCTGTGGCAATCCCTGCAGCCTGGAACAGCTGATTGGTGATATTCCATCCACCAATCAGCTGCTCTTGCTGAATCAGGCTGCAATAACGTGCTGAAGCTGACCAGGTCATTTGCTGTTTGCTGCAAGGATGCTAGCCAGATTAATACTGATGGATGCTGGAAGGCACAGGCAGAAACTATTTTTCCCTATCCTATTTTCCTCCCCCAAAATTAAGGTGCGTCTTATACTCCAAAAATACTTTGGAATATTTTACAGAAATGCTGTTCATTGTTTTCAAAATTTAATAGCTATTTTAAAAAGAAAATGACAAAGCAGTGACCATTCTCAGTCTGCAGATTGTTGATCTGCCTGGTTCCTTCTTCTTTCCTCCATTCTAAAAGAACATGAAAAATAGCTATTTCTTCTTTGCAGAACCAAGAAATATCACACAAGCATTACAGACCTTTATTTGGTTCATTTAATTGGTCCACACTCTTCCAACTGGGAAATGTAGACAGCCTGTGCTTTTGTTTCTTGATTTGGCCTTTTGGTTCTCTCAAGGTAGATTCAAACACTGATGATGTGAGAATTGGGTCTTGGGCTGTAGCTTCATTAGTCAGTGAAAATGCAGACTGGGATCTCTGTATATAAAAATGTGTAACTTTAGGAAATGCAAGCTTGGACAGGAACCATTTTCTCAAATTGCACAAAAAATGGAAAGCAAGATATATCCATCAGCTAATGATATAGACTGTTTTCTCCTTAGCCTATTACCATAATCAGTGACTGCTTTCCCCTTATATATATTCTTTTTCCCTGTTGAAGTTATATCTTTTAAATGATCAATAGGAAAGGAGACCGGCCTTTTTTTTTTTTTTTTACTGATTATATGTTAAGCTATTCTGAAAGCCTTCCTGAAAGTAGAATTATATTTTTAAAAACAAATAAATATTGGGAATATTAATTAACAGAATAACATTCCAACATTACTTTAATGCATTTAATTATGAATTATATATATTGTAATATACTATGGAATTCTCTCATGCATAGACACAATAATGCAATTATAAAATATCCATAACACAAACTTAAAACATTACCAATCATTTTATAATAATTAAAATTTTAAAAAAGCTTAAAACATTACAGCAGAACCACCCAAGAAAATATTACAACATAAATCACACAAAGAATATCTACCACTGACCCATAAAGACACATTTGAAGAATGATACTTTCACAATTTTTCAAATTTGAGGTAGTCCTCAACTTATGACCACAATTGAGCCAAAAATTATGTTGTTAAGTGAGTTTTACCCCATTTACCACATTTCTTGACACAGTTGTTAAGTGAATCTGGCTTCCCAATCACTAAGTTTGTCAAAAGGTTGAAAAAAGTAATCTTGTGACCCCAGGACACTACAACAGTCATAAGTATGAACCAGTTGCCAAGATTTTTTTATATATAATTTTATTTATGATTTTTTTTCTTTAACATATATGAGTATATTGTTTGGTTCAATTTACTTTATACACGATACTAATAACAATGATAATACTGTTTAGGTATACATAATAATAATCTTTCAACTTCTAGCATTTACGTATACATTGTAATTATAATGTATTATATTAAGTAGCAGTTTACATAGTAATATTTTCCCAATTTCTACTTCCTACCTCTTTTTTTCTAACCCCTAATAAAGCAATTCCCATATTGAAAGGTATTGTGTATCTATCTATCATCTCTTGCCCTTTTTAGTATTTCAACTCTTATTAACTTTGGACAAATCTCCCATGCTTCTCCCTTGGGATTTTGTATCCCCTCACATCACTCATATTTAGTCTAATTCTTTCATTTGCCGTCACATCTGTCTCTTGCTGTTGAATCTCTAGAGCACTCATCTGTAACTCTTTCATTGCTTCAGGGAGATCTGGCTTTCCCACCCCTTCAATCAGCTTAGCCAAATGGATGCGTAATCACCCTTTCCGCCAGTTCACATGAGGATTCTATTTCCGCAGCCAAGGTAATCCCAGTATAAGGGGCCATTCCATCCCTGGTGCCACGATGAAACTCAAGGATTGTTGGTCCCCCATCCACATTTTCACTGGTTTGGTTACAAAATGCCCCCCCGCCTCCCAGCCACTGATCCATCCAACTGGCAAAAGACAATGGGTACTTTCAAAGTTCTCAGTCTTAAACCCATTTTCTCCACCACCTCCGGGCTGATTACACATTGGGTGCATCCAGAGTCTAAAAGGACCAGCATCTTCCACTGGGCTCCAGTTGAGGGTACTTTTAATTCTACTGGGATGGTCATGGGGCCCAACCGGGGACTTACCAAGTGGCCATCATCTGAGTCAGTTTCACTTTCTCCTGAAGAAAAGGAGAGTTCCTTGCCACTTTCTCCCAGCAATGGACCAATTGTTTCCTTAACCTTTTTCTTGTTTTTAACATGTTAGAAGAAGCTGTTTTTGTTATTTTTTACTTTTGTGGCACGCCTGTCTTCATTGTGAACCTTAGCTTTCCTCACTTCATCTTTACAGGCTCGGGCTATTTGCTGATATTCTGCCTTAGTTATGTTCCCCTCTTTCCATACTTCCCCTCTTTTTATACTTATCTTTTTTGTCTTTCAATTTCTTTTTTGTCTTTCAATTTCTTTTTTGTCTTTCAATTTCTTTTTTGTCTTTCAATTTCTTTTTTGTCTTTCAATTTCTTTTTTGTCTTTCAATTTCTTTTTTGTCTTTCAATTTCTTTTTTGTCTTTCAATTTCTTTTTTGTCTTTCAATTTCTTTTTTGTCTTTCAATTTCTTTTTTGTCTTTCACTTTATCATGGGAGATCATGGGAAATAATGATTTCATTCCACTCTTTATTAATCAAATCTAATTTGGAGTACACTGTCCAGTTCAAAAGGATGATGACAAATTAGAACTAGTATTTAGAAAAACTACCAGGATAATGAAGGATGTATTTATTGCAGGTGCATTATAAAATATTTAACTTATTTTAAATGAAAGATTGATTATTTACATCTTCAGCAAACATTTTTTTTAATCTGCCAAATTAAACAAAAAGCTACAGTTTTATTTATCCATAAATTCTTCTTTCTTGTGTTTTTTTTCTTTAAATTGCTGGTGCCAATGGCAAACTAAGTCAGCAGATGGCAACAGAACAAAATTATAATTCTTACTCATTTGTATGCTACCTATAATGTCTGGGCCAAACATGGGACAGTAAATTTAAAACTAAGAACATGAGAAAAAATAAGATGGTTTGGCAGATAAAAGGAATAAAGCAAGCATAAAAAATTAAAGTTAGCGTTTTGCACAGTCCATTAAGGAAGGCAAATACAAAACTGATCAGGGATTTGGAATGTTGTTCTAAAAACTTTATATTCAGATCCATCATCCATCCAAATTTCTGATAGATTTCCTTTACAGGTAGTCCTCGACTTACTACAGTTCATTTAGTGACCATTCAAATGAAAACAGCACTGAAAAAAGTGACTTATGACCATTTCACACTTATGACCATTGCAGCATCCCTATGGTCACGTGATGTACATTCAGATGCTTGACAACTGAAACATAGTTATGACGTTCCTGGGTCCTGGAGTCATGTGACCATATTTTGCAAACCTTTTGACAAGCAAAGTCAATGGGAAAGATAGATTCACTTAACATTGGGTTACTAATTTAACACTTGACACAAATGATTCACTTAACAAATGTGGCAAGAAAAATGGGGCAAAATTCACAGCACATTTAACAATATATATTAATACTCACTTAACAAACAATTATGGTTCTAAGTAAAGGACTACCTGTATTGCCTAATACTTATGTGATTGTGAAGACAGAATCCACACAGTTGCAAAGATTTCTGAGAAGAAGACAGACTGCAAAAAGCATTTGAAAGAGGTATTTTCAAATTTAGTAGCTTACCCATAATGCATATGACTTCCTATGGCTCCTTTGAAAAGTCAGCATGTTCTGTTTTGGGGACAAAGCAGATGTCACATTTCTGTTGCTCACGAACTGTGACCTTTCAAAGCCAGGTTCCACTTGCTCAGTTTTGACTATCGGCTTCCTTATAATCTGTAGAAAGTTGAAAATGAAACTATATGTATACTAATAAATATATATTTCATAATAAATCATTACTAGTAATTTAGAATGGTTCCATTAAGATTTGAAACATGTACAGTATCTTAAAGTTGTCTTTTTAATTTTTGCTCTAGTTTTTGAAAGCTTTTTATCACCACCATCTAAATCTACATCCAAAAAGTACATTATAAAATGGGACGTTGGTTGTTACCTGATACGCCCCTTCTCTGGGCAGGTGGAGGCAGCGGTCATGCATGGGTTAACTCAGTCAGTAACCAATAGAACTAAGTCTGCCAAAGTGATATCATCGCCTCTCAGGAGCATGCTCCCATTTTTCTTGACGAAGGAGATTAGTAGACTGCTGTGCGTGAACAATAGCTTTCTCTCCAGATTCAACACAACATGCTCCTAGAACACCCCTGCGAGGTAGGCCAGAATTCCAAGGATAGGGATGACTGCTGTCTCCACCTGCCCAAAGAAGGGGCGTATCAGGTAAGAACCAACGCCCCATTCTCCTAAGTTGGTGGAGACAGCGGTCATGCATGGGACAAACCAAAGCTGGTGTGTCCCGGGGAGGGCATGAGACTGGCCTAGGAGCTAGAGGACGGAAGGACTTGCTGGAGCACTCACCATCCGAAAGCAGCATCCACAGATGCATATCAATTTACCTTGTAATGTCTTATAAAGGAATTAGGGGTCGCTGCCTTACAGATCTCCTCCACAGAGGCCTGCCGCGCCCACGCCGCTGACGTGGCTGCACTGCGTGTGAAATGAGCCATAATGTTGGATGGAGGAGGGAGATGATGCGTGATGTAAGTTTGAGCAATGGCAGACCTGATCCATCATGGTCCATCAACCAATCATGGAAGGAGAGGCTTTTAGACCCTTGTTGGTAGGTTGGAAAGACTAGAAGAGGGCTTTGCTGTGTCTGAAGACAGCCGTCTTGGTGATGTAGGTCTTAAGAACATGCCTGACATCTAGCTTGTGCCATTTGCGCTCCAGACTGTGAGATGGAGCCAGGCAAAAATTTGAGAGGGTGAGATCCAGAGAGCGATGGAATGCTGAATTCACTTTTGGAACAAAGGTGAGGTCGATGCGAAGGACCACACGGTCTGGGTGGAAGACGCACAAGTCAGCCCGGATGGAAAGAGCCGCCAGTTCTGACACCCTCCATGCTGATGTTATGGCCACCAGAAAGGCAGTTTTTGAGAGTAAGGTGATGCAAAGTTGCTGACCTGAGGGGTTCAAAGGGCGGCTCCGTAAGAAAGTCGAGGACCTTGGGCAGGTCCCAGGAGGGGAACCGGTGTGTGACAGGAGGGCAGAGATTGGACGCCCCCTTCAGGAATCTACGCACGTAAGGATGCAATGAGAAGGGTTCATCCCAATGAAGAGAGAGGACTGAGGAGAGAGCCAAAACCTGCCGCCGCAAGGTATTCGGAGAAAGCCCCTTATCAAGACCCTGCTGTAAAAATTCTAGAAGCTGGGGTACCATAGCCTTCAAGGGGTCCTCCCCTCGCCCCAAGCACCATGCTACAAAGGTCTGCCATGTAGATTCGTATATCCTATAGGTAGTTGGGTGGCGGGAGGCCTGAATGGTATGGATCACAGTCTCGGAAAGGTTATCTGCCTTCAAGACCACCCGCTCAGCCTCCAAGTGGTTAGGCGTAGCCAACGCAGGTTGGGGTGGTGAATGGAGCCCTGATTAAGGAGGGACGGGATCATTGGTAGGAGCCACTGAGGTTCCACTGACAGATTGATCAGGTCCGTGTACCATGGTCGGCAGGGCCAATTGGGGGCGACCAGGATGAGCTCAGCCTCTTCCTCCAGCATTTTCTGAATCACCCTCTGTATCAGGGGGAAGGCGTCCAGGAGACGTGAGGCCACTTGCACCTGAGAGCTTCCGTCCTTTCTGTGCCTGGTATCATGTATCGAGACAGGTACCTGGGCAGCTGGTTGTTGGCAGATGTTGTGAAGAGGTCCAAGGTTGGAGTCCTGTACCAGGCTTACAGCTGATGAAATATTCAGCGATTCAAGCTCCACTCCACCAGGTCGATCATTGTGCGGCTCAGCCAGTCTGCTGCTGTGTTGTCCAACCCCGAGAAGTGTTCAGTGCATATGGAGAGAAGGTTAGCTTCCGCCCAGGTTCCTAGTTGAAAGGCAGATTCCATGAGAGAGACAGCTCTCGTTCCCCACTGGCGGTTGACAAGCGCCTTGGCCGTGGTGTTGTCCATCCGGATCAACACATGTGAATTTTGGAAAGGGCTGGAAGTGAAGGAGAGCTAGATGAATGGCCCTCAACTCTAGCCAATTCATACTGTGTGATAGGTCTGAATTGGACCAAAGACCCTGTGCTACTTGTTCCTCCAGGTGAGCTCCCCAGCCTGTGAGGCTCGCATCTGTTGTTACCACAAGACGTGGAGGGTCCCTGAAAAGAGAGCCCTGAGCTATGGCCGGGGAGATCCACCATTCC